AAATGAAAAAGTAAATATAGTATAAAGGGGTTTGTAAGATTTTCTACTGCAGTGAACAGATTAATTTACCAGCTGCAATTAGTGAGGAGAATTCTATTGGCAGAATTTAGTTACTGTTCGGTTTTTACTAATTAAGAAGAATCTGGACAGCCCAGGTACTGCTTTCGTTTCAATAAAAATTCAAAGATTGTGAACTTTAAAGTTTAAATATAAATGTGTCATTACTTTCAGACTGAGGAGAAATGTCTAGTGTAAAGTGAGGCGGGCCTGCTGTAGGTTTTCGTCCAAATAAAAGTTTAAAGAAACAAATCAGAAGAGGAAAATTTTGGAAAAAAAACATTATCTTGCGAAACGAAACAAAAAAAACATGACCCTCAACTTCCTGCAATGAATTGTGTTCACTTTTTCATGCTTAGATAAATTTCCCCATGTGTACGATTGCATCCATGCCGAGGCTACCTGAACACTGCATTGAATACGTCAGAATCTTACAGTGGCCCAAAGATGGACCTTTTGGAGGTTTGCTGACATACTTCTACAATTTCAAAGATTTCATGATGCTATGAAAATGACTGAGTTGGTATAAACGTTTCCACCCTTGGCTTTGTTCTAAACTAGACACGAGTTTAGACGGAGACAATCCAGAACACATCCAGTGGGTGTTTGAGAGATCACAGGAAAGGGCAGCAGAGTTTAGCATCACAGGAGTTACCTACAGACTCACGCAAGGTGAAGATGGGAATTATAACACCTTAAATCCTACAGTGCTAATTTGCCGTATCACCTCTTCTTATTTTTGTCGGAGCTGATGGAATTAAACTCACAGGGGGTTCTTGTGTTGCAGGAGTTGTGAAGAGGATTATTCCTGCTGTGGCATCAACTAACGCTGTAATCGCTGGTATGAAACTTCAGTTTTTAAAGCTACTATGTGCAACAGTGTTTAGGACATTATTGATAATGGATCCAGCCTTTTAGGAAATAATTACCATGCCTATCGGTCTAACTTTGTGTTTGCAGTGACATTTTGAATTTAACAGCTTTGTCTTACATTTTTTTTGTTTTTTTCTTTAAGTTATAACTTTCTCAGTAACATATTGTCTTCAGACTACAAACAAATGCATCTTAATTCATCTGCAAACTGGTCTCTGTTGGAATAGTAAAGGAGAAACAGATTCATTTTTTTATTAGGACACAATCGTTGAGTGCTATCAGTTTCATTTCTCTGAGGTCTGGTTTTTTGGCTGGGTTTAGACGGTCAGAGATGTCCGTATCTTAAATGATTATATGTTTGTCATTATGAGCTATTAAGACAGTTTTCAAATTTTCTCTTAATTTTTACATTTGCATAGTTTACAGGACATTTTGTATAGCCTTCAATTTAAAGTGCATTTTTCCTTCTCACATGTGTTTCATCCCCATTTAGCAGTGATGCATCAGTGCATTAGGACTGATGATGGTTTTGAAGTGATGATGGCCTCATTAAAAATATAATCTTCCCGGCTCCTTTTTCTGGCCTTGTTACTGTCTGAATTGGTGTCTTTTCTAAAATGGATTGGCATGCTTCAGGAGATCCCGTCAGGTTACTGATTTATTTTTAAACAGGTATTAGCTGATCAGGTCCATAATTTTAAGTTTTAGACGAAAGAGAGGCTCCAAAAAAAGCAGCAAAGCAGGATAGATGAGGGAGCTTGAGGGAGGGGAAAAAAAGCGTCCGCCTTCACCAAGAGCAGGAAGGAAGATCATTTCATCGACTGATGATGAGTTCATCATCAGCTATCATCTTGGCATTAATATCCACTTTACTATTTTTCTAAAAAAAAAAAAAAAAAAAAAAAAGTTATTTGTGAGTTTATACTGTTTGTACTTTACAATGAAGTGGGGCATAATGTCTTTAAGGCTTTCATTAAATGCCCTGTTAAAACTTTCTGCCTAATGCTTTAATCTTTGTTATCAGGGGAAGGAAAATCAATTATATTCACCTTTTCTTTCAATAATCTTGGTTTTGCTCTTTACAGCTGCCTGTGCAACAGAGGTCTTTAAAATTGCTACAAGGTTTGTAATAGAAACGTCTTTCTTTCAAGGTTTTTCTCCCATTGCGGGTATGAATTATTGTCAGATCTGTCCTTTCAGTGCATATATTCCCTTGAATAACTACCTGGTCTTTAATGACGTGGATGGACTATACACCTACACCTTTGAAGCCGAAAGAAAGGTTTGTGTTTTTCTTTTTTTTTTTACTAACTGTAGCGTGCTCACAGTTTCCATGCAGAGAATAATGGTCATTATTTTAAAACATCTTTCTTTGACAGGAAAATTGTACAGCATGCAGTCAGGTACCTCAGGACCTCCAGTTCCCTCCCTCTGCCAAATTACAGGAGGTTTTAGAGTACCTGACGGAGACGGCCTCCTTGTGAGTTCTAAAAACTGAACCAATTGCTGATTTAAAGAAAAAATCTGATCACTTTTAACGATTAATCTATTTTTTTCCTCTCAGACAAATGAAATCACCTGCCATCACAACAACACTCGAAGGAAAGAACAAGACCTTGTATCTGCAGGTAACTGTCTAAAATGTAGACGGCAGCAACAAAATTTTAGTTTGTATTAAAACAGATTTTATATTATTATTGCAGTCTGTAAAATCCATTGAAGAACGAACAAGACCAAACCTCTGCAAAACTTTAAAAGGTATACAAATATATGTTTCTTTGTTGTTTATTATTATTATTATTTTTTATTTTTTTAATTTGCAATTAAATTATAATTACAGATTGTTTTTATTTTGCTCCAATGCAGAACTGGGCTTGTCAGATGGTCAGGAAATAGCTGTTGCTGATGTCACCACCCCCCAAACGGTTCTGTTCAAGCTCAACTTCACCGCTTAAGCAAAGAACAGATTAAACTACTATGATGCATCTGAAAGTGAACTGGATGTTTAATCATGGCTGTTGCAGTTGCACATTTGACATTAGGATGTAATTAAGGCGAGTAGGTTTTCAATTTGAAACATTTATTTTGTTGTTTGAACATGAAATCAGATGTTTTTGTAAAACTGTTTACTTCTATTTGTCATGTTTAGAGTCGGATTGTATCTATTGTCTGTCATTCGAATAATCATGTACGTAACCTCCATCCTAATAAAGTTTTATCATGAGAAATTGCTTTAGTTGTTTTTTTTCACCTATAATTCATACAGTTTTATTTATTCGAAAGTGTCCCTTTTTATGTTAAAATACCTCATTATGCTCTTGCATATTTTCACTCTTTCAATGCACAATAACTGACAATCTTAATTCATGTAAACTCAAGACATCTGCTGTCATTTATGCCTCTTAGTCTGACAGACGGCAACTGGAGCTTCTATCTGCATTTCTGCCACTCATATGTTATCAAGTTTAATCTATATATATTTTTAAAATGTGGGGCTTTAGCCTTCAGTTAGTACTGTTATGTCTAAAGCACATCTTAGGCCAAATATAGAATAATGGTATTTAAAGCAAGGGCAGATGCATAGGCCCATATCAACAGTATAGGTTGCCAGAATGCACTAAAACTGATCAGCTTCAGTTCAATTCAAAGTTCACAAAAATGTGATTTCCACTCATGCATAGCTTTTTATGAATAGGAAGATAATAAATACTAACTGAAATGAACTAAAATGCATCAAAATGCATAAATTCTAGAGTAACTGTGGTGTAGCACTGATTTTCACAATTATTGTAAAATAATATTAGAATATTTATTGAGGTAATTTTTTTTTCACTACCACAGAATAAAATGGCTGAAATTATAGGATAGATTTTCTTTCTAGAAATGTTCAGTGAGATAACATATGTCACCCATTTAATTAGTGTAAATAAGAATATTAAAATTCAAAAAGTCAAACTTGGTACAATGATATTTTGAGCATCAAATCCAGTCCCTGTGCTTTGGACTTGGATTCGATTAGCTTTCCACTCTTCCTCTGGACTCTTTAAGACCTCGATTTCCAGATAACTTGCAGCTCTGATTCTTACCCCTAGAAAGTTAATTTGGCATTCCCTTAAATAAAGAGGTGATTCCCTATTGTTTATGCACCTTTCTCTGAATCTAGATGAAAATACATTATTTCTCACAAATCTTCAGTTTTGGGAACTGAGAATTTGAGTGAAGTTTAGGATAAACTATAAATCATATCTCGGTCTTTTGTTTACATTTTATCACTGCTGCACTTTAAGGAATGGAAATGTCTTGAGAGCTGCACTAAACGAAATTTCCTTTTGTATGCAGCCTGTGTATAAAATGACAATAAATTTTGTCTAAGTCATGTTTATATTGTATGCTTCAGACAACAGAATGTAAGTCAGATCTCTTATTTGAATTTTACTTTATATATTATATTCACTCATATCATTCCAGCTGAGCAAATAGCTAGTTATCCATTCTTCTCTGCCTCATTCGTTTCATGACCTGTACATTGAATGAAAGGAAGCATAGAAAGAAATAAACAGTCATTTTTTGGGTCAAATATGTGTTTGGAGTTTTTTTTTAAAGGCCACCAGCACAAACAGCTTTAAAACATTAATCCTCAACATCTGTCAACCTGTCCACAATTTTAAGTGGATATGTAAAAAAGCAGTTCATGCAAAGCATAATTAAATATACAAAGGAAATGTATTTTTGTGTAAATCAGAAAAATAAAACGCTGTCTGCACATTTATAGTCAATCTTTATTTCCAGTGGTCTTTCACTGAGGAATAAGCATGATCCTTTTTTATTTCTTGACTTAATAGTATAACTTTATTTTATAGTTTATGCTTATACATTTTTTTAACTAATTAAAATTTGAATTAATTTCAAATAATAAATAACAAAAATGAGACGGATGTTGAGTTAAATAAAAAGGGGTTAGTCTGCATGGCTAGTGTGCATGTCAACACTTCCTATAAGCTTCTTAAGGCACTAATGAAAGTGGTTGCTTATTGTCCAGAAGACAGATGGTTTCTATCTTGATTAAGTTTTAATTTTCCCCTTGGATGGAACTGACAGACTTTTCTGCTTCTGTCATAAACAAGCGTCTTTCTTTCATTGCTTCCCGTCTAAATGCTACCTCCAGGGTGACTCCTGGGACCAGAGCGGATCTGTGAGAGTGCTATTTTTTTTCTCTCCTGAGCTGACTTTTTGATTCTGTCAGCTGCTCTTTGTTTCGGAAAAGGCTGGAGCACCTTTGATTATTTATTTACATCATACTATTTGATATTCTTCAACTTTAAGGGATAATACCACATAAATGGAGATAAGTATTAATGCAACCTTGTTTTTCTCCTGAACCGTGCTCTTGATTTTTACATAGGCAGACTGATGGGAACTCCTGAAAAGCCTTACCATGCATATAAATAAGAGACAAGGCTCAAGTAAGTAAAAAGCAATGAGTATCGGCACTATTAAAATATAGATATACAGGAGATTATATATGGAGTTTTTAAACCTCAGTAACACAGTTGCACTAATCTATGTTTGTTTGCCAAAAGGAAAAAACATAGAAATATTCCTGTTTCTACAAACTGTATGCCACTGATAATGTCCATAAACACAATGTTTATTTAACTTGTGAGTTTTAAGGGATTACAGCATTACTTGATAATTGTGAGAGAAATTAGGGTTACAGGTAATAAGTAATAAATAAAACTGCCTCAAGGAAACCTACACTCTCTGATTTTTTTCACATCATGCTCCATTTTTTGTGTGACTCATCTGGAATATAATTTTATATAAAACAGCTACGACTGCAAAGATCTACACAGCTGAAAGGAAAGTATGACTCAGAAATGACTTTAGGTCTGGGTCTTGTCATCTTCAAATCTACTCTCTAATTGTTTTTTTTTGTGTTGTTGTTGTACAATCTAATGCTCTCACATCTAGGTGGAATGGTATTGGAGGCATATCATTTCCAGGGGAAATACAGCTTTATGCATATAGTTCAGATCTGCTTGTTTAATTTAACAATTGTGAATAAATATTTATTTGTCTTCTGTGTAGGTAATATGAAGACGATCAAATTGAAACAATTACTCTCGGGGTTCATTTTGCTCGGTGTAGTAAACCTAAGCATCCAGCAAGTGTCCAGTGGCAACCAAAGCTCTCGAGGACCGAGAAGTAAGCATCAGCCCCTCTCAGACCACTCATACACCCAGTGGGACTCATTAGTTCTCCTGGTCAAAGGCCTGCTGACTTGAAGCAGAGCTCAATTGAAGCAAAAACATCTTCAGACCTGTAAAACATCTTTTATGAGGCCAAAAGTTACAACATGTCAAATACATACAGATAATGAGATTACTGCTAATACTGTGCAGTTGAATCTCAATGTGTTTAAAATATCATGAAAATGTTTACTCATTTTTTTTTTAGTCCCTGCAGGCTTCCTCTATTTTATTTTAAAAAATGTATCTGTTGAAAAGCAATGGCTGACTTTCAGTTGTCCATTTTTATTTTTTTATTGCTTTTGTCAGATTCAAGTTATTTCTGTGAACAGTGATTTCTTTGAAACACACACACACATATAGGTATACAAATATATATATATGTGTATGTATTCTTCATGTATCCTATTCACTCAGTTACAATTTTAGAATAGACTGATATATCAGACCCATTAAAAACTCGTTTTATGACAGATATGTGGGTTTTATAAAGAAGTACATTTGTTACCTGCTCAAAGGCTATTCTTTTCAAAGAGTACATTATTTAAGACAATTTAACCTGTACTTAAACTGCATTTTCTAATTAATCAAAGTTCACCATAAAATTAGGATTTACGTTCTGAAATATATATATATTTTAAATGTTTAGATTGACTGATCTTTATTGTAATATCCAAAATGACAACGTTTGCCTGTTATTTAATGTCTGTGAATCGAAAGACATTTTTTTGACCTAACTGGTATATGTTACTTAGGTGCCCTTTTTACGAAATACTTTTTAACTATAATTTGTTAAAGTTTTAACTTCTACTTAAGTTAAAGCATGCTGCTGAAGTAGTGGTGTCCTTACCTGAGTAAAATCTCTGTTGTCCTCTGATTTCTGGTGATCACCTGCAGCATGTAGTCAAAATAAGAGCTGAAGTGTTACATTTTATTCCACTAGGTGGTGCTTAAGCTCTAACAATAACAAATCAAATTAAATCAAATCAAATTTATTTGTATAGCCCTTTACAATAGCCAAATGGTACCCAAAGTGCTTTACAACAAAGCCATAAAACAATACATAACACATACATATGTGTTATGTATTGTACACATACATAAAACATAGAGATACAATTAAAAGTGCTGTAGTGGTGCAGCGCTTCAGGACATTAAAAGCCTTCCAGAGGTGCATAGAAAGGAGCACACAGAAAGAGGACATCTAAGAGACAGCATTATCCTAGTCAGAATTAAATGCTAATTTAAAAAAGTGGGTTTTAAGCTTTTTTTTTTTTTTTTTTTTAAGTCTGAGATCAGTAGTGGTGCGGTATAACAAGAGCTCCAAGTAATTGATACATTGTTTTCTTACTGGCTAATGAAAATAATGTTATTTGTTTATCATTTTTAGAAATCATCACTGATTAAAGATAGGACAGTGTTCATATCTACTGAGACAAAAGGAAGTTTTTCAAGTGAAAGGCTAGATGGGATCTCTGATGACTGTTGGATGGGCACACAAAAAACAAAAGCTTTAAACAATTACTACAGGAGTTTTTTTTTTTTTTTTTTTTTTTACCATTTTCCCTTTAGTGGTGCCACTGTTGCAATAGTGAATGTTTGATCCTGTGCTAATTCTTTTCCATTGTGCATTTCTTCTCAGGATCATCACAGGAGAGGACAGGGATTTGTGAAGTGGTTACTGCTCATCGCTGCTGCAATAAAAACAAGATTGAAGAGCGCTCTCAAACAGTCAAGTGTTCTTGCTTCCCAGGACAGGTAGCTGGGACAACAAGGGCACTGCCCTCTTGTGTTGAAGGTAAAGTTACAGAAAACACCTCGTCTCTTAAAGAATAAATATTTTGTTATGACATGAAAGTACCATCTGTCAAAGTTAGGTCACATTCACCAAAGGTGGCTGATTCCAAGGCTTTTAAAGCCCAAAGAAGCATGACATCTGATTGGGATATTTTTTATTTTTTCAAACAACTCATCTTTTATTTTTTTTGGAAGCTTGAATTGGAAAAGTGACCTTCTGCTCTTTTTTCCCTTTAGCTTCCATTGTGCGTCAGAAATGGTGGTGTAAAATGGAGCCCTGTCTGCAGGGGGAGGAGTGTCGAGTTCTCCCTGACCTCACTGGTTGGTCATGCATCTCAGGGAACAAAGTGAAGACCACAAAGGTGAGGAGGGGCCCAGCATTAGTCTGAGTCACAGTTCGATTCATCCATCCATCCAGCTGTTAGTGTTACCCGCTAGATTCCTCAGAAGGTTGTGGAGGTGCTGGGGCATATCGTGGCTGACAGTGGGCAAGAGCTGAAGCACACCTTGAATAGTTTGCCAATCCAAAATAGCCATTCAATTCAAGTTTATTTTTATTGCAGCGATACGATAGCCATCCAGATTGTCTCAAGACGCAACACAGAAGTCTCTGCCCAAGCTCCCTGGAGCGTGCACTGAGGAAAAGAAATCAAGGGAAAGACACACACACACACAAAAAATCTGCCTTTTAACAGGAGGAAACCTTGAATGCTGCCAAGCTTTTTACAGATGGGATAGCGGGTGGAGGACTGATATGCATGAAGTGAGCCAGATATCCATGCAAACGGAAAAGAAAAAAAGTGACAGAAGAAGGAGATAGAGGGAGAGATCAAAAAGGCAAACCCATTTATTCATACCAACGTCACATTGGAGTTAGCCAAACTATTGTCTGCATACATGATCAATTCTGATGTTGCATTGCATTTACAAGAATGAAAATGGATAAAACTGGGAGAGCCAGCATCCAGAGTATTAATTATGGAACAGCTGAGTGGGCATACAGTGTGCTTATGAGGTTACTGTTGGAAGGATAAACAGAGCAATGAGGCAGATAACTGTGTCACAGATGACAGTCATTTACATTAGGGGTCGGTATGTGGGCACACTATAGAACAGATCTCATTAGCGAAATGGAAAGAAATGGAAAAACAGCCGTACACAATACAAAACAGGGAATATCATTACATTTCAGTATTTTATAGAAAAATACCTCTTTTTGTTGACTTATTTTATATGTCTTAAAACTTCATTTTGATGGATTCCACAATAAAGTGCAAGAACGGCTCCATTGGCTGTATCTAACCTCTTTCTCTTGCCAGATTTAGTGCGCTCAGAAAACCTAATTCTATAAGCTGGTGAATGATGGGGCCAAGAGGACAAACAGGAAATAAGCTGTGAACTAATTCAGCACACTAAAACCCATGTAATTAAATCTGACGGCCAAAGGAAAACCCCACCGCTTTTAGAAATGCGCTGTCTGTGAAGTTGGCTTTTTGTTGAACTGTTTTTTATACATTATTCATGGCAGGGGGGAATCATTTTACAGTGAAAGTGGGGCAGGTAGGCAACGGAAGCATGCCGAAAAAGATCAATGAACTCAGTACAGCCACAACACTGTAATCTTTAACAAAGGAAAAGCAGAACAGGATTCAGTTGTCTTTTACTGAAGGAAGGAGGATAACCTTTGGCTTAGAACAATTCATCCAAAAATATTCAGAAATCATAAGTGAAAAGAAAAAAAAAAAAGGAAAAATACATTAAACACAAATCCTACACCGTATAAAAAAAACCCCAAAGAAAATAAATCAAGGAGAACTTTGTGCCATAAAACATTTCCTTCTGCCTTACTCTGATGACAGGAAAAAAAAAAAAAAAAAAAAATCACTGTTACTTTAGAGAAAATGGTTTCACACCAAACCAATAGCCAATCAGTCTGATTTCTGGAGAGGATCACCCCGAAGTGGAACCAAACCAGGGAATAGAGGATGTGACTTAAGAGCAGGGCTTATACATAGAATTAAAAAGAAGAGAAAAAAAAGAAGAGAAAAAAGATATATAGAGAATGCACCCTAAAGCTGCTTCTGTGTTATCAATTTCCTTTTAAGGAAAAGCTGTATGATAACATATTTTTTTGGTTATGTTTATTTAGTTTCTTTTTCTAGTGAAGTATTAGGGGAATTTTGACCAAAGTTACAGAGGTCTTCATTGCAAAGGAGTGCCTATAAGGAGGCAATAAGTGAAAGGTTAGAATAAAGGTGTGATTAAGCAAAAAATGAAAAAGACTTTGGTATAGAGTTCATACTGCTGTGGGCCAACAATTTTTAACATTACTTTAAGGATAAAACATTTAATTTGGCTTGAATTCATACTTTGCAATGACTTCTTCTGCACTACAAATAAAAAGGATCATATTCAGGACAAAGTTATGGCAAATATCTGAAATCATGCAGTGAAACTAGTTGCAATTAAAGGTGGAGATAATGATGGTGGCTGAGGTCAGCTTTGATAGTCAAACTCAAGTATTTTGCAATGGGGTTGCTTTTTAGTTAGCAACACCCGCAGTAACCTTTCTTGCAGTATTTTTAAGCTTCTGCGGGATGTTCCCTGTGTAATCTGGCTTGTTTTGTGTTTATCACTGATCAAAAATAATGCAAACCTGGCCTGCCAAGCCACAGAGGGATGAGATGGGGAAGGAGCACCTCCAACTCAGATCTGTAAGGGTGATAACACCCTATAAAAGCAATTTAATCGCTTGATAACAGGCCAAGCAAATACACTATATTGCCAAAAGTATTTGCTCACCCATCCAAATTATTGGAATCAGGTGTTCCAATCACTTCCATGGCCACAGGTGTATAAATTCAAGCACCTAGGCATGCAGACTGTTTTTACAAACATTTGTGAAAGAATGGGTCGCTCTCAGGAGCTCAGTGAATTCCAGCGTGGAACTGTGATAGGATGCCACCTGTGCAACAAATCCAGTCGTGAAATTTCCTCGCTCCTAAATATTCCACAGTCAACTGTCAGCTGTATTATAAGAAAATGGAAGTGTTTGGGAACGACAGCAACTCAGCCACGAAGTGGTAGGCCACGTAAACTGACGGAGCGGGGTCAGCGGATGCTGACGCGCATAGTGCGAAGAGGTCGCCAACTTTCTGCAGAGTCAATCACTACAGACCTCCAAACTTCATGTGGCCTTCAGATTAGCTCAAGAACAGTGCGCAGAGAGCTTCAAGGAATGGGTTTCCATGGTCGAGCAGCTGCATCCAAGCCATACATCACCAAGTGCAATGCAAAGCGTCGGATGCGGTGGTGTAAAGCACGCCGCCACTGGACTCTAGAGCAGTGGAGACGCGTTCTCTGGAGTGACGAATCGCGCTTCTCCATCTGGCAATCTGATGGACGGGTCTGGGTTTGGCGGTTGCCAGGAGAACGGTACTTGTCTGACTGCATTGTGCCAAGTGTAAAGTTTGGTGGAGGGGGGATTATGGTGGGGGGTTGTTTTTCAGGAGCTGGGCTTGGCCCCTTAGTTCCAGTGAAAGGAACTCTGAATGCTTCAGCATACCAAGACATTTTGGACAATTCCATGCTCCCAACTTTGTGGGAACAGTTTGGAGCTGGCCCCTTCCGCTTCCAACATGACTGTGCACCAGTGCACAAAGCAAGGTCCATAAAGACATGGATGACAGAGTCTGGTGTGGATGAACTTGACTGGCCTGCACAGAGTCCTGACCTCAACCCGATAGAACACCTTTGGGATGAATTAGAGCGGAGACTGAGAGCCAGGCCTTCTCGTCCAACATCAGTGTGCGACCTCACAAATGCGCTTCTGGAAGAATGGTCAAAAATTCCCATAAACACACTCCTAAACCTTGTGGACAGCCTTCCCAGAAGAGTTGAAGCTGTTCTAGCTGCAAAGGGTGGACCGACGTCATATTGAACCCTATGGATTAGGAACGGGATGTCACTTAAGCTCATATGTGAGTCAAGGCAGGTGAGCAAATACTTTTGGCAATATAGTGTATCTCGCCTCTTTTTCATAGGGGTTGATTGATGATAATACTGAGCCAGCCTGACTTCTTTCTTTTTTTCATTTTGCCAAAGCTCGTTTTGTAATGGAGACTTTATACTTTACTCACCAAACTTCAGTAAATTGAGATCAGGTAAAAACTTGTAAATATAAAATATACACGGAAAACCTTTGAAAAGTAAAGGCAAAGAGGAAACCATGTGAACAGGGAATTTTCTTATGACCACAATCGATTCCATTTTTCTTGAAAAACTTAGTTTGATTCATTGGAATGCTTTGGATAGATTTTCTCCAAAATAGATTTCTTCCTGGTTTGTTCCACTGTCTCTTGTTGAGTCCACTTCTAGCCACTGGCAATGTTTTATTAATAGTTTTTTGTTGAGCAAAACCAAAGAAATTTTCTGAGGGTTGTGGAAACCAGACACAGCTGAGAATCTAAAATGTTTGAGAGCAGTTTTTAAAAAAAAACAAATCAGATGTAGTTAGGAGACTTTCTGTTTATTTTAAGACAGAAGGAGTTTGGTTCCTTATAGAAGAACTGCCTTTTTTTTTTTTTTTTCATAAAACTTTTTGCACCAGAGGATTCTTTTAAGATTTATCTATGAGATGTTTAAAGTTAGTTCATGAACCTGTCTCTGTGTTGAGTCTCTGGCTACTATAAATGGAAAATCATAATATTTTGGGCTGGTGTATAGAGAAAAATAAGACAAAAAGTTCTGCTTTGAAATTTTCCAACAATCTAATTAAGCCCCCAATGAAAAATTCCCTAGCTCTTTTTTATAATCTCAATGTCAGTAAACACTCATAATCCAGTGTGACACTTTATCTACCAGTTCAAAGTATTTGTCCAGCAGTCCCTGCAAGCTGTTGTCGAAATATCAGCATCTTAACATCTAAATCCTTTTAAAAGTGTGTTATGAACTGCTTTACAATAAAGGACATAATTTAAGATCTTATTAACCAGTTAATTATTATTATATTTATAAACTGAACCATGTGAACTTAAGAGGGAATGTGTTTCCTAACATTTGCAAAATACATTTACAGATTTATTGCTAAGAATACTGAATAAAGCAGCTTTGAAGAGTGCATTGCTCTGCATGTGAAAAAAATAAACTTCTTAGCCAGAGATAGTTTAGCTTTTCAAGCCAGACCTCAAGTTTAAACCCAGTTTTATTATCTGGACAGGGAAAGATTTGGTACAAAGATAGAAATAGATTTATTTTGAATGTCTGAATAGGAATGATTTTAGTAGACAAATGTCACTAAAAACATTTTAATACTTCTTAAAATATTTCATTTCACTTTCCAGATTCCCTCATAAGTTGTGTTTGTGATATTTGAAGTGAATCACTAATAGAGTAGAACTTAAATTTTATTTTTCTTTACATTGTATGCATGTGATCTATTAAGCTTTAGCCAAAACAATAAAATGAAGTATAAAACATGAGTATTGTCACAATAGTGATTTCAGTCAAAATCTGTAGAAAAGCTTCTCTGTCCAATAGTCTTACAAGGATCACCATTGTAAGTTTTTTTTCATTCCTTCTTTATAAAGAGTTATCCATTTTTGATAGTTTCTGTTTTATTACATGGAGTCGTGCACTTACTGTCAAGGTTATGTTAAGGTTTTAGATGACCCAAATACAGAGATGATGAGGCAGAGATAAGTTTAGCTGATATATTTGAGGTTCCAGAGGCAACAAAGGCAAAAATCCAGGAACAAAATAAGAAACCAAAAAACCAGGGGACGCCAGGAATAAAGAACACACAGGGAGCAAACTGTGGAGCAACAGGAAACCTGCAATGAGAAAGATTGGTGTATATATGAGGAACAGAACAAATTAAGGGCTAATGAGCTGATGTGGGGCAGGTGTGGATAGAAGGGAGCTGGGGGGGGGCAGAGACAGGCACAAGGGGGAAACAGAAAGTAACTCAAGAATCACAATACTGCTTAAAATAACTAGAAAACAACTTCAGTGACACAAAATGAAAGAGAAACAGTTATCAGGAAAACAGAATGTAAATGTAAAATGTACACACAATTATTTGTCCACAAAGAGCAGGATCATTACACTTACTAGCATATGGATAAGTTTACCACCTATAACACATTATCTCTTGGTAGACTTCAGCTTCCATAGTTTATAGAAACTTGAGTCTAAGCTATGCTTTGATGATTGCTTGAAACTGGACATAGAAACCTGTGAATATCACACTAAAATAACCAACACATTTCAACACATTGAGCTTTCCTCTGTGTCAAAAAATACAAATCTATTTTCTCCTGAACAAAAAGTAAAGAAGCACTAACATTTTCCTTTGATATTTGTTTTTAGGTGGCACGGTAGCAAGACAGAAGCTTCTGGAAAAGAATTAAATTCTCACCTGACATGCTGGAGTCAACTTCAGACAAAGCAGAGGAAAAAAAATAACGGCTATTAAATTAAATACCTCTTGGCTTGGCATAAAAACTGCAGAAACTCACTATTTAATTTTCATGTTCTTTGAACAGTTTTATTTTGTGTTAATCCTCCATAGAGAACACTCTATTAAATTCAAGTAAAGATTAAATGATGAAGTTTTTTTTTTTTCCAATCCAAACAGCTTCTGCTAAAGTCTTTGTTTCTGTGCTTAAAATGCAGGGCACACTGTGATGCGCTCAATCAAGGTTTGGACCGAGCTGCTGGCAGACCCTTAAAAAGAGATTCTGTGGATTTTTCAGGTGGCAGAAAGTGAACCCAGTATGTGCCTCATGAGTCGCTGCTGCTTAAAGCAGCAGACCGCAAATACTAAGAAATTTATGATTACATGGTGTAGCAATTGTAGTCAGTGCTGTCCCTTACTCTTAGCTTCCTAACGAGGTCAGGTCCCTTTAGACTAGTCCTTACCTCAAAGAATCACTCTCACACATTCACATACTCAAGCACATGCATACAAAGGCAGTTTTTTACTCCAGTGGTCACAAGCCACCACCTGCAAGGATTTGATGGCATGCACACAAGCATGAAGTCCTGACGCAAAACAAGGACTGTTTGAAATGCTAATCATCAGTAGAAAGAAGCAGAAAAAAAAAAAGAAAAGTAGGTTCTTAACTGTAGACAGTCTTTACACCAAGCTGTTTTGTTTGTCTCTCTAAACTGAGAGCACCCATGGAGGAGATTCTTCTTATAGTAATGATTTAAAACACTGGCGTTTTCCTGCCTAGGAGCGAATCGTCGCCTCTAACAGAGCAGAATGTTTATTACCACTTAATCAGTTGTGCTTTTAATATGCATAATGCACATATTCCTCCTGGACTCATCCTGATTGCTTCTCTTTTATCTCTTGAAAAACCAAGCATTTTTACCTTCGTGAAAATATTTTTTTTCACCCTTTTTTAAATAGCACAAATTTAGCAGCTGCAAATCACTTCATTTTAGGCATCATGCTTGTATGAAGGCCACATGCTGCGGTGGCTGAAAGCACCTGAATTTTAAGCAGCTTTCTCAACATCACACAATTATCCATTATAATTGTCTCAGTTCAGACAAGATCTTTTTTCGGGCTATCAGATCATTCAAGAATTTTTGCAGGATTTGCTTTGTAAACATTGAAGTTAGAATTACTGTACCATTTGCTATTTGAAGAACTGTGAATGTTGATCATATTAATCATATAACTCCAGGATGGTGACCAAATGTTTGTGCCTACCCTAAAACAGGGAGGTGACTGAGTGTAAAGTACATTTTGCACGACAGAGTTTCTGTCAAATGTCACATAAAGGCTAAACTTGGCTAAAGCTTGAGGCACTGCTGAAGCATTTGGGTTAAAAGATGTTTGAACTGAGCTGAACATGTGTTTTGCTTATGTAGAAGGTATTTCAGTAAAGGTTGGCAAGTACATAAGTGAGTATGCCATTTATAATTATAAAATTCTTAATCTAAAAAAAATTAAACAAGAGTAGAAACATTATATATATATATAGACTCAGCCACATTAGTCATTACCAGAAAAAAAAACTTAAATATTGCATCCCAAGGGACAGATTTTAAACATGTTAAGTTAGAAGCCCATCTTTGACTGTTTAAATGAATCTAAATAGAAAAGATATGATATAGTTTAAAGGGACAGCAATGCATTTTTGACTTGATGACCTTCTTTAAGACTGTAATAATACAGAAAGGTCCATATACAGTGTCGCCAAAGGTATTTACATACTTTTACTTTACATTTTAAGTGATTAGACACATTTTAATATCAAACAAGTTAATCCACATATGCCATTTTTCTAATGATCATAAACCACATTAGGAAAAACGAGTTAAACAGAGCCTGACTGAAAACATGAAGCGTTTGATTTAAATTAAGAACTGGTAATATGTAATTATCATCTATTAGTCTTGAAATGGTTTCCAAGGGGAATTCAGTGGATCATAGGGGAATCCATTATTCTGATCTATCCTTATTTTATTTAAAGGAACCTGGAACAACATTTAAACCAACTCAACCCTCAATTGTTTCATTTAGGATCAAACTGTGTCTTCCAATACATGTAAAGTAAATCTAGCAAAGAAATTAAAGATACCAACAATCACCCAAATGTGGTTGTATGATGCTGCTATTTGAGCACCTGAACAGCTTAAAGGAGAGCATCCTCTGACTACACTAAAACAATTTATCATGATCTTAAACCTGGAATTTGACCAAAAAACAGAAATAAAGCACAAATCCTAAAGAAAAAAAATATTTTTTTTACTACAATTATTTAAAATAAAAAAATTATTATTGTGACTTAGGCTTGGGGACTCTGCGTGTCTGTTGAAAGGGAAGCCTTTCTGATATGTAACATTAAAACTTACTTTAAAGAGAAAAGAAGTCAAGCATTTCAAAACTGTACTAGATAACACTACTGAAGCATTAAACCCACTACTCACATTACTGTGGTTGACTGTATCAAAGGCAGATGAAAGATCTCATAAAGCTAAAACAGCATGGTCCCTTGAGTTTGCAGAAAATATGAAATGGTGCATGACCTTAAGTGCTGAATTTTCTGTGGGATATTTCTTTTGGAAAGCTTTAGTCTTACCTATTTCTAAATGTATCCATACCCTGTTAATCATCTTAGGGTTTAGGAGCCAATCCCAGCAAACAAAGGTTTATTCTGGACAAGACTCCAAAAAAAAATAAAAAAGGCAGAAAGAGAAAAACTGCAATACAGTAATACAAAAAATCTTCAAAATATCAGTCAATTAGGTGAAGCAGTAACACACTGTTCTGTGTTCTGCTGCACAATGCGATGGATGATATTATATTATGGAAGGTTTATAATGTTTCAGGGCACTTTCTCAGTACCTATACATTAGCATATGAGAAAGTGCGCTGAAACATTATGCTTTTTTTGCAGGGGAATGAGACAAAGGTTATTATAGAGCTGCTTTTTTAATGGACTAAGACGTCAACATCACTCAATTAGACAGATATAAGAACACTTCATTGTTTTTTCTTTTAACTTTTACTATGAAAAACACCTTTCCTTTTGTCATTTTCTTTGTAATCTCTGTTGTGGGCAAAATGCTGTTTACATGTTTTTATTGGTTAGCATGACAAAAAAAACGCAGTTCTTGTAGTAATGATCTGTAAATCATAAAATCTTTTGAATTGTCCAACTTTTCATTTCAGTATTTTTGTTCGACTGAGAAAAAAACACATTTAGAATTATTTTCTTCATGCCAAAGAGAGTGAATTTAATTAAAACAGTTGCAATTAAATTTGAACTCATACAATTTTTTATATTTAGGCCTTAGTTTGCCGGTCATCCAGAGCGCATTCACAGGTTGCACTTGTTCCTCATTTAGAACTGCTACAGCCTTATTCCTTATGGTAAGAAATTAATCTCCTCATTCAAAAATAGTCACAAAATATGACAGTGGAAGTTTGAAATAAAATCAGATTGATGGTGGAATTTTGTCATCATTGTGTCTCCCAGAAGAAGCAATGAATTATGAGCTGTGAGTTACCCAAAGTATCAACAGCACAGGTACCAAGAATTGTGGTTTACATAATTTTGTGTTGCATATCAGTTTATTCCACACCTGTTTGGAAATTTCCAGGGGTGCTAATTATAGCAGAGGTTGCTACAATATTGCAAGTAAATTAAACTGCTGGATAATATTCCTTTTAGTCCCTGCAGTTCATAAAATGCCTGTGTCCCACTCTTCCTCGATGAGATGTTTTATATGTAGGATTCCTCTGAAATGCAAAGTTAATTGAACCTAAAGGTCCAGTGATTCCACTACTATTTTTAATGCTTGAAAGGATTTTGCCATGTAAACTTTGAAAAGGTCAGAAGCTCATGAGCTAAAACTTTACAGAATCTGAATACGAGGTGAAGCCAATGTAAATGTTTGATCAAAGGCTTAATTCAATATATTTTTTTTCTGTTTACTTTTAGACAAATCTCTTTACTTATATGTACATGCATGTATGTACTTTAGCTGTCATGCCTGTAACTTTTGGAATAATAGTCTGTGAATCACATAGAGTGGATGGAGTTATCTTTATTCTTACTTTTTTTAAATTAAGAATTCTTTTAATGCAATAAAGGGTAATCTTTTAACATTCAGGGGGCTTTTGTCAGTGTTGCCATCCTCAGATATGTGTTTTAGCCCCAAAAATACTCAGGACCATCACACTGTTTTTTTTTTTTCTTAAGGTGGTTTGAAGCATTCAAAGCATTTTCAAATGTGTTTGTGATCCAAAAACTCTTATGCAGGGTCTTACAGTACAGAAGTCCAGGAAACATGCCGTGTGGTAGTCTACCTTTAATCTGTGATATAACACTCAAGTGTCACACAGAGGTTTTATTTATGTAGGAACTTGCGTTCAAATGACTACAGGTAGAAAAGCTCTTAGCAGCTTTCAGAAGACTTTGCTTTAAAAATTAAACAGGGAGATGACAGGAGCCAAAATAATGTAAATAAGTTCATGAGTATTAGAAAAGCTACATTCAAAGTTGAAATGGGAGTGCTAATAATGGAGGTTTGAATAATGTGAATAATATTTGACAATTATGTTTGAGGAAAAGAAAAGGATTAAATACCTACAAAATGAGATGGAAATAATTATTCGACATTTGAGAGTCATGAGTCACTTCATTTTTATAATACAAACAAGATTCCTGAGTAATTACTATGAGTCCATTTGAGAGGAGTTTCTGGATGATATGTGGGAGGGCATCTTTGGTCTCTAAAGTATCCAGGGGCAAATTAAAAAGGTGTAGTTCATAGTGGATTATGTATAGCACTGAATCTAATTCAGCTCACAGGATACTTTTTGGGGCTTTGTGATGATTAATATGAACAGCATTTCAAAACTTTAGTGTGGGAGGGACATTATGACTGTCTCTGTCTGTGTTCTGAGTCTCTGATGCAAATTTTACCTATTTACCCCATGGGAGGTTTGTCTGTTTAATTTTTCTCAATGCTAACATTTTTCAAGGCAGGTTTTAAAAAAAATCATGTTTATCTCACTTTGCTGTCTATGATATATATATATATATAAATATACCGGTATATATATATATATATATATATATATATATATATATATATATATATATATATATATATATATATATATATATATATATATACAGTGGGGCAAAAAAGTATTTAGTCAGCCACCAATAGTGCAAGTTCTCCCACTCAAAAAGATGAGAGAGGCCGGTAATAGCACAACTATGAGAGACAAAATGAGAAAAAAAAATCCAGAAAATCACATTGTCTGATTTTTAAAGAATTTATTTGCAAAATATGGTGGAAAATAAGTATTTGGTCAATAACAAAAGTTCATCTCAATACTTTGTTATATACCCTTCGTTGGCAATGACAGAGATTAAACGTTTTCTGTAAGTCTTCACAAGGTTTTCACACACTGTTGCTGGTATTTTGGCCCATTCCTCCATGCAGATCTCCTCTAGAGCAGTGATGTTCTGGGGCTGTCGCTGGGCAACACAGACTTTCAACTCCCTTCAAAGATTTTCTATGGGGTTGAGATCTGGAGACTGGCTAGGCCACTCCAGGACCTTGAAATGCTTCTTACGAAGCCACTCCTTCGTTACCCGGGTGGTGTGTTTGGGATCATTGTCATGCTGAAAGACCCAGCCACGTTTCATCTTCAATGCCCTTGCTGATGGAAGGAGGTTTTCACTCAAAATTTGACGATACATGGCCCCATTCATTCTTTCCTTCACACGGATCAGTCGTCCTGGTCCCTTAGCAGAAAAACAGCCCCAAAGCATGATGTTTCCACCCCCATGCTTCACTGTAGGTATGGTGTTCTTTGGATGCAACTCAGCATTCTCTCTCCTCCAAACACAACGAGTAGAGTTTTTACCAAAAAGTTCTATTTTGGTTTCATCTGACCATATGATATTCTCCCAGTCATTGTCTGGATCATCCAAATGCTCTCTAGCAAACTTGAGACGGGCCTTGACATGTACTGGCTTAAGCAGGGGGACACGTCTGGCACTGCAGGATTTGAGTCCCTGGCGGCGTAGTGTGTTACTGATGGTAGCCTTTGTTACTTTGGTCCCAGCTCTCTGCAGGTCATTCACTAGGTCCCCCCGTGTGGTTCTGGGATTTTTACTCACCGTTCTTGTGATCATTTTGACCCCACGCGGTGAGATCTTGCGTGGAGCCCCAGATCGAGGAAGATTATCAGTGGTCTTGTATGTTTTCCATTTTCTAATAATTGATCCAACAGTTGATTTCTTCACACCAAGCTGTTTACCTATTGCAGATTCAGACTTCCCAGCCTGGTGCAGGTCTATAATTTTGTTTCGGGTGTCCTTTGACAGCTCTCTAGTTTCGGCCATGGTGGAGTTTAGAGTGTGACTGTTTGAGGTTGTGGACAGGTGTCTTTTATACTGATAACGGGTTCAAACAGGTGCCATTAATGAA